CTAGCTCAGACCTGCCACTCAAAGTGTGCGGAGCAGCTGAACGCCTTCGCCTGGAGTCTCCCGCGGCCCCAGAGCCTGAGCGGAACAAGATTCCAGTGGCTCAGAGGCCCAGGACGGGGTGAGCGCCTCTGCCTGGGAATGACTTCGCTGCATGAGCCTCACTGAGTGCTTCCGAGTCCGTCTCCTCGGTGAAGACACAGGCAGATCCCGTTGCCACTCATGAACTTGTCGGCGGGGCGCTAAGAGGCACCTGTCACGGGTCTGCAGGGGTGAGGCGAGGGCCTGGCTTTCTGGAGCTGGGCTTCAGCAACACGAGGCACTTATGTAAGGGGCAGCGGAGAGGGTGTGGAAGTGTGCACTGCACGGCGGCAAACAGCAACACACCTCCAGGGACAGGAGTAAACAAAGTCTCCTTCACACACCTGCAAAGCACGGGTCAACTCTCGGCGGGCTGGTGCCAGCCTGGCCCTGGCCGGAAACAGGTGCCCGGCTCGGGCCTCCCAGGCCTCTCACCCTTCTGCCTGGCCTGGGACAGGACAAGGTCAGGGAACCTCGGGGTGGGGGGCGGGGGGAACAGGGGCGTCAGCCACATTCCTCCACATTTACCTGCCCTGCAGGACATCCTCAGCTCCTTGTAGAAAATGAAATTCCAGGATTTGCAAATCTCCCTGATCAAAAACGCCCCAGAGCCTGGGCCCCATGACCGTGACCGTGACCGCAATTTCCTGCCTGAGGCAGGACCCTGAGAATCTGCATGTTAAGTAGGTGGGTGTCCTGGGTGGTGGTGATCATCTGAGGCACAGGGTGTCCCTTTCCTGGGGTGGGGAGTGGGGTGAGCGGCAGCTCCATTGACCCAGGAGGCAAGGGGGGAGTCCTGAGGGCCTGTGTCTCGCAGCACAGCCCCTTCTCTCTGGATCTGCAATCTTTCAAATCTCTGCCTTCTCCTGCGTTAAAAAACCCATTGTGGGGCCTTCTGAGAGCCAGGTCAGGGCTGGGGAAGGCAGCAGGCCTGCTTAGGATTTCAGCAGCCTCCAGGGAAGTCCTCCTACTGCTCGCAATACCTGGAAATGCTCTAAAGAAAACTGTACCCGTTACCAGCTTCACCTGACTGCATTTTGCCTGCTTGTGCAAACAGAATTTTACATGGCTGTAACCACAGAGCAAGTGGCTTCTTCTATCTTACACACCCCTATGCCGCCTTGCCCCTGGCTTCAGACAATGCCCTAGGCCCAGGGGCCCTTTGGAAGGCTAATCCCAACCCCTGGGGAACCTTAAGATGGCCTCCCCAGGCCTCCGGTCTGCAGCAATGTGAGGAAGAGGAAGTAAAACAGGTAGGAACGGAAGTGCTGGGCCTGGGACTGACCTGACAATGAATCAGGTTTTAAAGCAGGGCTGGCAAGCTCCTCTGTGAAGGGCGAGACAGCAAGGACTTCAGGCTGTGTGGGCCGTCCAAGCCCTGCACACCACGTGAGTGATGGGCCTGGCAGGCTCGAAAAAGACTTTATTTACCAAAACAGGCCATGCGCCAGATTCGTGCCAGGGCCACAGTCCGCCCATCCTTTGCTTTACAGCATTTTTTTAAAAAACATATTTATTTATTTCTTTGAAAGGCAGAATGACAAAGAGAGAGGAAGAGAGCTTCCATCTGCTGGTTCACTCCCCAAATAGCCACAATGGCCAGGGCTGGGCCAAGCCAAAGTCAGGAACCAGGAGCTTCATCCGGGTCTCCCAGGTGGGTGACAGGGGCTCAAGCACTTGGGCCATAGTCTGCTGCTTTCCTAGGCACATCAGCAGGGAGCTGGATCGGAAATGGAGCAGCCAGGACTAGAACCGGCACCCATGCGGGATGCCAGCACTGAAGGCAGCAGCTTAACCTGCTGCACCATACCACCAGCCCCTACAGCATTATTTTTAAATGCTCCTCAAAGCACTGCCACATCTACCACTTTAGGCCCTCATCCTATAGGCAGTTGAGACACCATCCCCATCAAACAGAAGAAAATATCGGGGTCCAGAAAGTGGCTAGCCCCATGGTTCTGAAGGAGACAGAACTCCAAGGGAGGCCAGGCATCTCCATCCCACCCCGGAATGCCCGACAATGATCCTTCCGCTCCCAGCCCCCACGCACAGCAGGGAGGAGGGCCTCCGCCATGCCCACTCTGGGAAGCACTGAGGAGCCATCCTGCTGGGTACATGCTGCTTCCCTCCCTTCCCTGTGCAGGCATAGCCAGGCTGAGTCAGCAGGAGACCCAGCCCTGCCCTGGGGACCGGGAGGAGCTGTCCTTTGGGCTCCAGCCCTGCCCAGGCTGGCGAAGGCAGCAGCTGGCTGAGATGGCGGGGCACCACATCCCTCTTCGCTCACCAGAGGAACTGACCCTCCGCAGTCTGCACAGCCCAGACAAAATGTCTTGCAGCGGCCAAGATGCATGTGGGCCAGCTCTCCTTGGAGAAGGAGGCAGTGTGTGCGTGGGGAGGTGGAGGGGGTGATGTTCCCAAGGCAGACACCCTCAAGTCAAATTCACCCTGAGTTGCCTTCTTCCGCAGAGCTAACACAAGCTGGCGGGCGGGTGCTCTCTGCCTGCCTCATGGGTGGGCTCTGTCTCACAAGGGAGACCGTGGAGTATTTAAGAGCCCTAAACCGGCCGGTGCAGCAGCTCTCTAGGCAAATCCTCCACCTGTGGCGCCAGCACTCCAGGTTCTACTCCCGGTTGGGGCGCTGGTTCTGTCCCGGTTGCTCCTCTTCCAGTCCAGCTCTCTGCTGTGGCCCGGGAGGGCAGTGGAGGATGGCCCAAGTGCTTGGGCCCTGCACCTGCATGGGAGACCAGGAGGAAGCACCTGGCTCCTGGCTTTGGATCGGCGCAGCACGCTGGCTGTAGCGGCCATTGCGGGGTGAACCAACGGAAAAAAGGAAGACCTTTCTCTCTGTCTCTCTCTCTCACTGTTTAACTCTGTCAAAAGAAAAAAAAAAAAAGCCCTAAACCTAGACTGCAGTGATAGTTGCTAAGCCTACTAAAAATCACTGAAGGACCAACATTGTGGCACAGAAGGTTAAGCCGCTGACTGTGATGCCAGCACCCCCTATGGGCAGTGGTTCGAGTCCTAGCTGCTCCACTTCCGATCCAGCTCCCTACTGATGAGCCTGGAAAAAGCTGCAGAAGATAGCCCAAGTTCTTGGGCCCCTGCACCCACATAGGAGACCCAGATGAAGTTCCTGGCTCCTGACCAGCCTGGCACAGCCCCGACTGTTGAGGCCATTTGGGGAACGCACCGTGGATGGAAGCACGCTCGCTCTCTCTCTCTCTCTAACTCTGCCTTCCAAATAAATAAATAAATCTTTAAACAAAATAAAACTTGTAAAGAAAATGAGTTACCTGATTGGGCAACCAAATGCTACTTTAAAAAAAAAGAGAGAGAGAGAGAAATTATTGAACTGTACACTTAAGAAAATCTTGGCCCCAGCTTTTAAAGCTGTGTGACCTCAGGCAGCTTACATAACCACCCTGTGCGTCTTCTCGACTGTCAAACAGGAAAGATGATAGAACCTGACTCTGCGTGAGGATCCAACAAACCAACAGCACAGGGGCGTCAGAGTGGCAGCTGCCACCGAAGAAGGGAGGGACATGTGTTTTCTCCAAAGTCTTCACTGGGACCAGGAGACCCGCTCAGCCCCCAGGAACCCTGCCAGCAGAGCTGTACCCGTCAGGCCCTAACTCACGCCTCGACCTTGCCCTGCCCCTCGTTGCTGCTGCTGCGCTCACTGTTTGCTCTGCTGGGAATGCCCTTTCCTCCCAGCTCAAAGGCTGGTTCCACTTAGAGGTCGTCTCGGCTCCCGCTGAGCTTTCCAACCTCCAATAGCGAAGGCTGAGAAAGGGCTAAATGGCACAGGATGAATTCTGTTCTGAGATCCCCGGCGGGGAAAGGCCCACTCCCATCCACTCTATCTTATACGCCAACCTCGGCAGCCCGGGTGCTGAACTGAACCCAACAGCAGGGGCCGTGGCAGTAACATCCTCTGGGGATCCCCTCCCGGTGGCCAGTAAAGACAGCACGGTGACCATAAAGGCAGGGCAGCAAGCTGTGATGGGGGAACCTTCCTGTGGCCCAAACCAAGAACACAGGAGTCACACAGAAGTGAATTCGTGTCCCCCACTGTCCTGGCTCCCGCCAGCCAAAAGTGAGTACAAATTGCAGAAAAGATATGGTTTGCCGCTGGCCAGAACCGGGGTAGGGCTACAGGGGTGTGTTCTGACGCCTGAAGGCAGCAGAGCCCCCGCCCTGACTCAGGAGCCAGTGGCAGCTGGGGTCAGGGGCAGAGTTCCTTGGCCTCCACCGTCCCATCCCTGGCTCCTCCAACCACAGACCCCAGCCGAAGCTGTCATCCCAATAAAGAACTTCCGGTCACAAGCAGGCAGGTAACCTGTTAGCAGTGGCTCCTGTTGATTTGTCCTGGGTCTCACCTGTTCAGAGCCAGGTGTGTGGGCAAGCAGGTGGCAGCCCCTCTCAGGCCATGTGGGGCCTGGAGCTGGGGTCAGGGTGACCCCCGAGGCCCTCCTAAGCCCCCAGGTCTGGGGGCACCACTTGTGACTGAGCGAGAATGGGGTGGGTCGCAAGCACAGGAACTAAACGCCTGGGAAGAGGGGCTGGGACCAGATATGGAGGAGGCAAAGTTCGCCCACCTCGCGCCCCGCTCCTCCCCTCCCCCTCCTTTCCCACGGCCCTTTCCCCGCCACCCCGGGGCGGCGCCTCCTCCCTTCCCCGCGGCTCCTTCCCGGCGGGTCGCACGGTTCCAACGCGTCCCCGCCCGCCCGCCGCGCTCGCGGTCCCCGGCACCCTCCCCTGGCCCCGGCGCGCACGTACCAAAGTCCCTGGTCGCGTTCTCCGGGGCCTCTTGGGTGAAAATCCAGGGCGGGTTGGTGGCGTAGAGGGAGGTGGCGCCGGGGCTGGCGTGCTTCTTCCCGAAGAGTTTGCTGAAGGTGCCCTGCACCGTCTGGTTCTTTCTCATGCTGGCCGCCGCAGGCCGCGCGGGCGCCGCGGGCACCTGCCCGGCTCGCCCTGCCCTGCCCGGGTCTCAACTTCGCGCGCGCCGCCGGGGGGACCCTACCGGGCCATGGCCCCGCCGTCCTCCCAGCCCGCACGCCGGGGACAGGTGCTGCGGGTGCCGCCGCTCGCCTGGAAATGCGAGCTACCTGGACAGGTAAGAGGCGGCGGCCGAGTCCCGGCCCCGCCCCGCGGCAGCCGCCCCGCCGCCCAACTCCCCGGGCCGCATTCCTTCCTGCCTCCTTCTACAACAGGCCATTGTTGGCGCGGCCCGGTGGGCTGCGGACCTCGCCCGGCCTGCGAGACGAGCCGCCCCGCCCCCAGGGCGCCCCTGGCCCAGTCCCGCCTCCGCCCCTTCTCCCTGGGCCAGGAGGGGGCGGTGAGGCCCTAGGTCGGTGTGGGCAGTGGGGGCGCGACCCTAGGGACTACCCCGAGGACAGAGCCGGCCAAGCATCCTAGCCCCTGGCAGATGCGCGGTGCACGGGGAGAAGCCACCACAGAGCCCCCGGCCGGCTGGCCCCGCTGACTGCTCCATGGAGAACCAGGCAGCTAACTCTAGTTTTGTGCACAGCTGCGTGAAGCTAAGGGACTATAATTTTAAAAATGATTCGGCGCCTTGAACTCAGAGCTTGGCTCGCTCTCTGGGCAAACAGAGGTCCTTGAAGCCCGCGGTGGCATCCTTGCCCCACCAAGGGTGGCTGTCCTCTGGGGACAGGTGAGGACCTGGGAGGCCCGGTGCGAGGGAGGCAGAGAGCTGAGAGTCAGGCCGGGGTGGCCTGCCATGCTTCCTGTGCAGGGGGCAGAGGCTGGGGGAGGGGTCACCAAGATGCAGATCCCCTGAGCTCCCAGGCCTCCACCCACGGAGCTAGGGCACCAAAGGTGCTTCCATGCCCCCACCCCCACCTTTCACCTAGAAAAATTCCAGAACTGCAGCAAATGTGAAACAGTCCAGTGCCCTCCTGTTTACCGGTCTCCTGGGTTCGCCAGGGCTGACATGTGCCGAATGGACACTCACTTTCTCTGGTCCTCCCCACTCACACACCCAAGTTTCACATTTTCGTTTGGATGTTTCTGCTGCAGGCTGGAAGCTGTGAACGTCCCAGTCCTCCTGTCACTTCCTGCAGTACTTAGCACAATGGTCACACTCGAGAAATTTCACTCTGATCCATTCCCATGGCCTGGTGTTCACTCTGTATTGAAAATGGCTCATTTGTCCCCCAAAATGTCATTTCAGTTGTTTTCCCCCCAAAGGTGTACTTATTTATTCAAAAGGCATAGTGACAGAGAGAGAGAGAGAGGGAGAGAGAGCACTCACAATTTTCCATCTGCTTGTTTACTGTCCAGATGGCTTCAATGGCCAGGACTGGGCCATGTCAACACCAGGAGCCTGGAACTCCATCTGAGTCTCCCACGCGGGTGGCAGGGGCCCAGGTACCTGAGCCGCCTTCTGCCTGTTTCCCAGGTGCGTTAGCAGGGAGCTGAATAGGAAGAAGAGCCAGGACTCGAACCAGTGCTCCAATGTGGGATGCTGGAATCGCAGCCGGCAGGTTAACCGGCTGTACCACAACACTGGCCCCCGTGTTAATTTTGTATTTATTTTCCCAATCCAAAGTCCAAGACTCACCCCTCGCCTTTGCTTAGTGTGCTGCTTTAATCTCTCTAAGTTTCCTGCTTTTGTTTGTTTTTCATGGCACTGACATTTCTGGGATGTTCCCTTCCCTTGCTTTAGCTTCAAGGGACAAGATGAGCCCGCCTGCAGGGCCTGGAGCTGTGAGGTCATTGTTTCCCAGGCACCAGGCAGGGAGGGACTGTGGAGTGCATGGGCGCCCCGCTTGGCTCGCCCCAGGAAGATCAGGCTTCTGTGATTCAAGGTGGCAGGCTACGCATGACTAAGTGCACACCAGTGACTGCTCTCGCTACTATGCACAGCAGGAATTCAGAGAGAGGCAGGGCCACAGGGGTTGGAGGCCAGGAAGGCTTCTTGGAAGAATGGAGATGGCAGCTGGCCCGGGGTGGGGGGCACAAGGATGTTCAAGGAGAAGGGAGGGCACACACTGCCACACCTTCCATTCCGGTTCCTCTCACTGCCCCCAGGGAACAGGCACAAGGGCCCTTCACATGCCCCATTCCCCCCACCCCCCGGCCATCATCACATACCACTTGAGTGCCTAGACACTCAGGCTGGAGATGGGCTTCTTTCTTGGAGGCCTCTGCAGCACGAGGTCCCTCCCACCCTGGGTAGCTCCTGGGGTCTGACCCCCAGCCCCCAGCCCCACCCCACCCCAGCAGAGCCACCATCAAGCAGTGCCAGTCCTAGGCACCTTCTGCTGGAGAATCCATGTCCTCTAGAGCCATTGTGGACCCAGCGCTGGGCTGTGAAGGAGCCAGAGAGAGCAGAGATACGGCTTCTGAGCTCCAAGTGCTGTGGTCTGTTTAGGGGCACAGGCAGAGAGCATGGGGCCATGAACATTGGAGAGGTCAGTGACAGGGAGGAGACTGGGAGGACAGAGGTTCAGGACGGGTGGAGGATACGGGCAGGGCGTGCCGGCGGTAGGGCAGGAGTTGGGGTGTGGGCGTGCGGGGGTGTCACCACAGGACTGGCCAGGGTGTGTCCAGCTGGAAAAATCAGAAGCAGCCCCAATGTCCACCAGGAGATGACGAGTTAAATAAATGGTGGCGCGTCCATATAATGGAATAATAATGGAACTCTGAACACATCAATCAGCTGACTGTGTCCAGTTATCTCCAAGATAAACTGTTACTCAAGCGATGTGTGTAGCATGCGGCCGTTTGCGAAGGCCAGGAGGTGGGGCGGGGGATGTATGACCTCATTTGCTTGTTTTGGCGCAGACAGACTTGGGAAAGATACATAAGAACGAATCAAAGTGGTGACCAGGGGTGGGTGGGTGGGGAGACTGAGAAGCAGAGGGAAGGGAGGGGAGGAGACCTCCCTGATGCCTATCCAAATGTCCACAGCATATCCACGGATTTCCTGTCGAAAATTAAAGATAGGTAGGCAGGGGGCCTGGTCTAGCAGAGCCTGGCCGTGCAGCCCGTGAACCGAGGACTCCGTACAGCCCGGAACCTTATGTGAAATGCAGTCTTGGTTCCAGCCCAGACCTTGGCAACCTCTCTGACCCTCCCAGTTTGTTCACCTGTGAAAGTCCAGGGTCCTGGGCCCTTCAGTGAGCTGAGGATTCCCCAGTATGGGTTCTGCATTTCAACAGGAACTCAGGCGATTCGGGTATTCAGGTGAATGTTTGGGAGGATCTGAGCACGAGCCAGTGGTGCCTGGAAGCTGGGGGGTGGGAGTGGCTGAGCAGGAGCAGGCTGGGGGTGGGGGGGGGTGGGCCTGAGCCAGCCAGGGGGGCTGGTGACAGCTGTGTCAGAAGCATGTTTGCAAGATGGACAGGGAGGAGGAGGCGTGGCCTGATGGGATGGCCAGCTACTTAGAATGGATTGCTCAATTGGTTACTCAGTTGGTTAATTGAGCCCAGCAGGAGGGGAAGGGGACCTCTTGTGTGCTCATGGTGGAGACAGAAAAGAGCAAAGCTATTAGTCTGTGGGGCTAACAAGAAGGGCTTGGCAACAGCCAGCTTTCGGGGAAATGCTGTGAGTCTGGCCTGGCGGTCCTTAACCGCGGACGCTCCTAGCCTTGTGGTGAGGGTTAGCAAGAGGATGGATGTGGAATGTGCAGCATGGGGCTTGGCACACAAAGGGTGCCCGCCAGTGCTCCCTCCTGCCTCCCGCTGCCCTGCGCTGGTCCCTTGCTTTCAGGGTAGCTTTGAGAGACCTGGGGGATGTACGCACGGGGCAGAGGGCTGGAGGCTGCGGAGTCTGGATGCCAGGGTGCAGCCTGCCCTCGCACCTTTCACTTCACCCGCTCCGTGCCCAGTTTGCAGAGAAGTCTCTAGAAGGTCTGGGATCCATGGAGAGCAGTTGCTCCGGTTTCATTCTCAGCCTGACAGCTTTTGAGGCCAAGTCCCCTGGGGCAGAGTCAGGGCCTAATTCTCCGTCCAGCTCAGCACCCTGCACGGCCACCGTTCAGTCCCCACTCCCCTCATCTAATCTCAACACCTCACACCTGCTCCTCAGGTAAGAAAAACAGGCAAATGACAGGCTCCCTTCCAAACAAAGGCCTCATCCTATAATTAAACCTCTGCCCTGGTGTGATTCAGGAACCTCCGAGAGCTGACTTTGCTGGTGGGGTGGGAGCCTGGAAGTCACGGTGAGGCCGGACACCCTGCAGCTAGGCCTGTGTCAAGCTTGGGGACTTGGAGCTGGCATTTGTGGCGCAGTGGGTTATGCCATCTCCTGGAATACCGGCATCCTATATGGGTGCTGTTTGAGTCCCAACTGCTCCACTTACAATCCAGCTCCCTGCTGGCTTCTGTCGTGTCTTTGCTTCTCTGTTTAGCATCTCCCTGCCCAACATGGGGAGAGGGGGTGTTGGGGTGGGTGGAGCACATAGTTCCTGAGTACCAGACCCTCCACTGGGAAGCTTTTTTTTTTTTTTTTTTAAAGATCTATTTATTTATTTGAAAGGCAGAGTTACAGTAAGGCAGAGGCAGAAAGAGAGAGAGAGAGGTCTTCCATGTGCTGGTTCATTTCACAAAGGGCTACAACAACTGGAGCTGCACTGATCTGGAGCCAGGAGCCAGGAGCTTCCTCCAGGTCTCCCACATGGGTGCAGGGGCCCAAGGACTTGGGCCATCTTCCACTGCTTTCCCAGACCACAGCAGAGAGCTGGATCAGAAGTGGAGCAGCTGGGACTCAAACCGGCACCCATCTGGGATGCTGGCACTGCAGACCAGGGCTTTAACCTGCTGCGCCACAGTGCTGACCCCTCCACTGGGAACCTTAACTCACTCTCTCACTGACTCTCATAACAGCTGCCATTAACAGCCCCTGCTTTACAGATGAACAAAGTGAGGCTCGCAGAGGTGCGAACTCAGCCAAGGTCACCCGCTTGAGGGGTAGCACAGCCAAGGATCTTTCCCACAATGTCAGGATCCCATCAGCAGGGCCCATGGGTCAAAAGGGAAGCTTCCCAAACACAGCACTCCCCAGCCCGGCTGCACCTAAAATGCCTACAATGCTCGGGCACCAGTGTCTAAGCCACAGCCTCTGAGCCCCTTCTCAGGGTCCCCTGCCATGCAGACTTCTGCTCAGCCCTTTCTAAGTCCCCTCACACCCACCCAGCCCACAGGTAAGTCAAGGTGGGAAAGACTGAAGCCTACTAGCCCTGCAGGGTCGGGAACGAGCGACCACAGGAGATGATCTGCAGCTGTTGGGCTGGTGGGGGCTCTGACTTGTGGTCCTGGAGAGCAAGCTGTAGAGACCAGCATTGACGATGGAGGGTCTCAGCCTGCCCTTCCACACCCACGGTCTGCTCCCCCGCCTTTGCTGCGGAAAGACACACCCTCCACCCCCGATTATTTATTTATTTGATAGAGTTAGAGAGAGAGAGAGAGGGAGAGACAGAGAGAGATCTTGCATCTGCTGGTTCACTCCCCAAATGGCCGCTATGGCTGGGGCTGGGCTACACCAAAGCCAGGAGTTTCTTCTGGGTCTCCATGTGGGCTCAAGGGCCCAAGCACTTGGGCCATCCTCAGCTTCTTTCCAAAGTCCTTGGGCCCCTGCACCCATGTGGGAGACCTGGAGAAAGCTCCTGGCTCCTGGCTTCGGATCGGTGCAGCTCCGGTTGTTGTAGCCCTTTGGGAAGTGAACCAGCACATGGAAGATCCTCTCTCTCTCTCTCTCTCTCTCTCTCTCTCTCTCTCTCTCTCCCTCTGCCTTTCAAATAAATAAATAGATCTTTAAAAAAAAAAAAAAAAAGCTTCCCAGTGGAGGGTCTGGTACTCAGGAACTGTGTGCTCCGCCCACCCCAACACCCCCTCTCCCCATGTTGGGCAGGGAGATGCTAAACAGAGAAGCAAAGACACGACAGAAGCCGGCAGAGGCTGCAAGAGAGCAGTGTCAACTCAACCAAGCTGAAGAAGGAAAATTCCACAGGGGACCCAGGAGGCGGGTGGGGCAGGTATCGACAAGGTTACCTTGAAGACCAGGTGAAAACATCCCACAATGAAATGATGTGTGTATGTGTGTGTGCATTTAATAAAATAGATGGTTGGGAGGGCCAGTGCTGTGGCGTAGTGGGTAAAAGCTGCTGCCTGCAGTGCTGGCATCCTATATCAGTGCTGGTTTGAGTCCCGGCTGCTCCACTTCCAATCCAGCTCTCTGCTATGGCCTGGGAAAGCAGTAGAAGATGGCCCAAGTCCTTGGGGCCCTGCAGCCTCATGGGAGACCTGGAAGAAGCTCCTGGCTCTTTGCTTTGGATCAGCTCAGCTCTGGCCATTGCAGCTATCTGGGGAGGGAACCAGTGGATGTAAGACTCTCTCTCTCTCTGTCTCTCTCTTCCTGGGTGCTATGTTTACAATCTAGCTCCCTGCGAATAGCCTAAGAAAAGGAAGATGGCCCAAGTGCTTGGGCCCCTGCCACCCATGTGGGAAGCCCAAATGAAGCTCCTGGCTCTTGGCTTCAGTCTGGTCCTAGCTGTTGTGGCTC